CCCCACCTGCTGGAAAGATAGTGGAAGGAGATGCAGAAGGCAATCATCAGTCACAGGTTGATGTATTGCAGCACAAAACAAAATCCTAAACCATGGAATGGTTGAGCAGAAACCACAATAATGTAAACAATTGTTTCGACCCGAGCTGGCAACCATAAAAGAATGAGATACGCGAAGTAAACTTGTCCCGAGTAAACAATACTTACAGCGCATCTAAACTTAGAGGGGCGGGCAACAAAATTAGAGGTAGCCGTGGCAGTGTGGCGGTAATTTCTGATTATCGCTGATACTTAAAGCCGTTTGTCGGGTTTCTGTCTTAGCACGATCCACAAAAAGTTTGGAAAGTGTGCACGTAGAATCGAATAGGTTAGCTGATAAGATAGGCCGCACCACACTGCACTGCATTGCACTGCACTGCACTTTGGTATTGTAGTCAAAATGTAATTAATTGATAATCAAGAATTGTTTATTTTGCGTACAAACGGTTTTTTTTTTATTTAGTTCACAAAAAAAAAAAAGGAAGTATGCATGTCAAAAAAAGGGAATTCATAGAAATGGTTGACTCTGTGGCAGAGACGCTTAAGCAGCTTATATTGACCTATTTGAATGCTTCAGTGGAATAGAAATGAATATATGTATGTAAATTGAATAAATATATATGCTGTAGTTGAAGCATTTATGTATTTATGCATATGTATGTATTTGTACCATGCAGTAATTATATAAGAAATTATATATTATATTAATTATATAAGAATATATGTAGCTGCTGATTATTTTTGTAGCTTTGAAAATGTTGCGTTTTTTTAAATCCATTCGGTTTTTGGTCCTCTCCATATATCAAGATCTTTTAACTTCTTTACAAGGTAGTCCGTAGAAGCGACAGAGGAAGAGCTACTTGCTGCTGCATCGGCTTCCTTTACCTTTCCCTTTGGCACCTTTCCACTCAGACTTTCTGATTTTTGATGATGGTGATATGATTCAAGTCGAATTTTCTGATCGACCTTTTTAATGTCCTCTAGAAAGGTGCCACGCAGCTTGCATTTGTTGATGATGTGTTGAAAATCCTCATTTTGGCTCAAACTCTCCGGATTGCCAATCAGTATCATCAGATACTTGGCACGGGATAGCAATACGTTCACGCGCCTGGGATTAGATAGAAAATAAGGACGCATAAATGAGCTAACTAATGATACAATGATTATTGGCTTTTCACGGCCCTGATATCTCTCCACACTTCCAACCTCCACGTCCCAGCTGAGCATATTTTGTAAGCGCTTGCATTGAGCCAAATATGGTGTGATGATACCAATTTCGTCCGGCTCCACTTGTACACCGTCACCGAGGCCATCTTTTAGAAGATGCTTCACAAACCAATCGACCGCCGTTGCCTCCAGCAGATTGAAGCTGCTAGTGGAATGGTGTTCGCGCTCCGTTTTTCCGTACGTGGCACAGAATAGGATTGGAAACTCTCCATTTGTTGGCAACAAGCTCCAGTTGGCGGCTTTGTTAACTACCTGAAGCGGAGCCATGGGTATTAGCTGATTATCGTAATAAAGCTGGTTGTAGATGCCAACGATCTCAGGATGGGATCTGTAATTCCGCCGCAAGCGTATCTGCAGTCTGGTATCATAGCTGCCATCGTCGTCCACCTTGTACAGCTTGTTAAGTAGCAGGCGTTCCATTAGGGATTTGTCCAATCCCAGCGATGCCGCACGTTTATTCTTTATGACTGGACCCAATTGCTTGTGGTCTCCGGATAGTATAACATGGCAATTTATACTTTTAACGCCTGCAATGCCCATCAACGCCTCGGCCTCCATCGATGCGGCCGCCTCATCAATGAAAATATGAGAAAATTTGTTGTATTGAGTCAAGAAATACATTTGGGCAACGCCGCATAATGTAGCCACAACAATTTTACAGCGCTCCAAGATATTTATAAACCATTTACCAGCTGCTGGACGCAAACATTTGAATATTTTTTTGAGATTTGGATCTATGCGCTTGTTGTAAGAACCCGAGTAAATGCGTACAAATTCCATTTTCGTTAAATTTGTCCAATATTTTTTAGCCTTAAGAGCTTCGCATATTCTCAAAGCAATTGTGTCACAGGCTGAGTTCGAGCCAGATGTCACAATAATATGTGCGTCACGTTGGAGATATAGCTGTAGTATAGCCTCGACAATAGTTGNTCTCCATTTGTTGGCAACAAGCTCCAGTTGGCGGCTTTGTTAACTACCTGAAGCGGAGCCATGGGTATTAGCTGATTATCGTAATAAAGCTGGTTGTAGATGCCAACGATCTCAGGATGGGATCTGTAATTCCGCCGCAAGCGTATCTGCAGTCTGGTATCATAGCTGCCATCGTCGTCCACCTTGTACAGCTTGTTAAGTAGCAGGCGTTCCATTAGGGATTTGTCCAATCCCAGCGATGCCGCACGTTTATTCTTTATGACTGGACCCAATTGCTTGTGGTCTCCGGATAGTATAACATGGCAATTTATACTTTTAACGCCTGCAATGCCCATCAACGCCTCGGCCTCCATCGATGCGGCCGCCTCATCAATGAAAATATGAGAAAATTTGTTGTATTGAGTCAAGAAATACATTTGGGCAACGCCGCATAATGTAGCCACAACAATTTTACAGCGCTCCAAGATATTTATAAACCATTTACCAGCTGCTGGACGCAAACATTTGAATATTTTTTTGAGATTTGGATCTATGCGCTTGTTGTAAGAACCCGAGTAAATGCGTACAAATTCCATTTTCGTTAAATTTGTCCAATATTTTTTASCCTTAAGAGCTTCGCATATTCTCAAAGCAATTGTGTCACAGGCTGAGTTCGAGCCAGATGTCACAATAATATGTGCGTCACGTTGGAGATATAGCTGTAGTATAGCCTCGACAATAGTTGTAGTTTTGCCAGTACCTTTAATGGATAATTGCGTTAAGGTGTTGGATCGAATCGGTCAAGAAAAAATGAGTCATTTACCTGGAGGGCCAAACACAATGTAGGGCGCGCTACTGTTAGGCCCAGCTATGATCTGACGTACGGCTAGCAACTGTTCAGGGTTTGTTGCTATCGATTCGTTGATTAAAGAATGGGTTTGAAGTTGATCGTCCAACGATTTTTGATGATTCAAGCTCTGGGATTTGGATTGCGGAAAAAGGTATCGACACGTAGCATCGCACTTAGCCAGCATGGATAGGGCATTATACATTAAATTAAATGGTATTCGAGAAGAACGAAAGATGATGTCGAACTTTTTATCAATCACATAATGCGGATCTATAGGCATACTATCTGATCGCGGAGCGTGGATATCTTCTTCTTCTTCTTCTTCTTCTATTTCCATTTGGAGACTTTTCTTGATTTCTTTTTGGCACAACTTAAACCAAACTTTTTTGTGTTTTACCATCGTAATTTTACCAACGTGACGGTGATTTGTTTCTGGTTTACAAGGAAGATTCTCGAACTCGTGCGGAGTTAAGCAGAAGATGCGTTCTGCTGGTAGGGGTGAAGCCATCGCACTTTGCTCCGACACGAGCACCACTTCGTCCATGCCAGGGCTCAAAACGTCTTCGGCTCTATTTGCGATGCCCGCCGACCTCAAATTTATAAAGAATTCCTCACGCGCCATATCATAATCTACGTGGTAGCTGTGCTGCATTAGATTCGCATACAGGTCCATTTCGGCTATGTCCTCAATGCTA